AATGCTTAATTGCCGGCTTCGGCGTCTATCAAGTTGAGTTATTTCTGTGGTTATTGTTGCTCCCCAAGCAGCCTGGCGTGAAATTTTAATTAATGCAAGGGAAAGGCGTGCAACTACCGACAAACAAGCCGCAGAAAGCAGCAGTTTTTGTTGCCAAATTGATGAACTCTCGCCAACTCTGGCAGCCATGGCTTACGACGGTGCTTGTTTTTCCTTCAATATTTACGTTTAATCAAATGTAAAATCCACACCGATAACTGAAAGCTGCAATAACAATCCAGACTGGATCTGTACACATAATCGCTGCAGCTCTGGACCTTCCTGGGCAATCTATTTATATTTTGTGGTTTCGGGTTTCGATATGGCAAGGCACATAGATATATATGTATATACTCACATGTGGCCGTGAGAGTTTATACATCATTTTAATTAAACGCGGTAAAAAACACGGGCCGTAATACACGGCAGATAAAAATGCAATATGTCCGCAATACCGCAATTTGTTTAACATTCCGGGCAAACGCGGACTGCATAAACAATTAAACCGATTGAGTTGAAAATGGTGGGTATAAAAAAGCACTGCGAAAACCACAGGATAAAAATTGTATATATATTATGGCGCAATCTAACATTTCGATCATGGCTGGTTATGTTTACTCACATTTAATTGGTTTAGTGCCTTCGCAATGGCAATCGATACGGTCTATAGGCCGGCCAATAGTGCCACAAATCATCGCAATTCATAAATAATAAAGCCGTTTAAATGATTAAAAAAGCGTTTTGCATATTTCATAGTCTCAGAGCCAGGTCATTTGGCTGCCAATTAAATGCTAAATAGATTAAAATGCCAAAATGCTGCGATAAACTCAATCACGAATTCTGATTTATGCCTGCCAAAGGGCCCAAAGCCATCCCCTGCTAGTTTATCACAAAACACCCTACACTTTAGAGCCAAAAATTCGAGTCGAATTTCATTATTCTAATGTTAGTTTATTCAATTTGAATGGTCTTTTCGTTTTTATTATGCATATTTGAGGGAAATTGGATTTACAAAATAGTTAAAAATGGAAAAATGAGTATTTTGCTGGGGAGAGTTAACATTTGTTTCTGTAGCTTAGAAAAGGTTTTAATGCAAATTATACAAAAAGGAAATTCTTTATGTTCTACTTATTTTCAGTAGAATATAATATGCTAAAATTTAAACCCTTTTTTATTGCATTTAAAATATAATAAATTTAAATGTCCCTAGGAATGATATATAGGGTTTTAAAAAATATTTTAAACTCAATATTTAACATTTAAATTCCCTAATTTAAGCATTTCCTTAAAAACTGTATATGCTGTATATATATTTGTACAGAATCCCATCGAAACCCTGTATCTTATCAATACAGCTCCATATCAAGCCGTGCAGACGATCACAATGCGTCAACTAATTGCTCATTAATTCGCAAACATGATTTCCAATTCAATCAGACTCGGCTAATTACAAAACTTAATCCAATGGAATGGCCGCAGAGCCTCCATCCTCCACTCCAACCCCTGCCATTCAACTCTCCAGCACCTGTTGAGGTATCCGCGGGAAAGACTTCCGCTTCCGCCTTCCTCTGATTTTCCACGCAACGATGGCCAACGATGTTGTTCCACGGCAAACTTCAGGCAGGATTTTCCCATTTAGTTTGTTTTGCTTTCTGATTCCGTTTTCTTTTTTGTGCCGTCTCAGAGGCGAACATATAACGCAGCTTTTCCCCATCGCCGTCAGGATACAGGAGTAGCCGCACATCCTGCGGGCCTGCCACTCAAAGTTTTGTCGTTATGAGAACGAGTGAAAAAGCGAATGCCCATTGACAGTTCCGAGGACAAGGACAAAAAAGATTGAGTATACCCGGCATTGATAGGGAATGAAGGGTATATTCAAACTTTGTGGTGAAAACTTTGCTTGTTACAAATAAATGGACAATAAAATTTTATTATTTCTATTTACACTATTTGATTGTCTTCAACATAGTTGATTCTACTTAAGTCGAAGGACACTTTAATTTACCAGTAGGTTTAACTATGTATGCTAAGCTTAATTTGTTAAATAAAATTAATAACATATATAATCTATAATCTTTCCTCTTAATAAAAATACCTTTGTTTTCTATCTTCCTAATAATGTTTAAATAAATGTAGGGTCTTCCTTAGTCGATTTGTCTGGTCCTTGCTATCTTTGTAATTAGAGCGTGGCAAAAGAATCCTTTGGAAAAAAAGGATACTCAGTGGGGGTCAACAAATGCGCATCGCTCAGTTTTTGACACGCACGGCAAATATGTTTGACTGAGTTATAGGACCCAAGTCCAGGCCCGGCTCTCAGATACCAAGGGGATGGATGACTCTTGATATCGAAGAATAGGACCAAAGTAATTTAGCCATGTCCATACTCCTTTTAATTTAGCCGAATATTTTTAGGTATTTCCTACTTGATTTATGGCAATAAAATGAACAGTTTATTACGTATACAGGTAGTTTAAATTAATAAAAAACTTAAAAGACTTAATTCAAAATGAAAATGCATAATTTTAAAATTATAAAGCACCACTGTATATAATATATTGAGTAAATTTTGCGGACTTTACAACGCTTGTGGTTGTTTCGCTTCGGGTAAAAAATCTAAATTAAGTTTAAAGTAGTTTAATTAGTCAAATAGTTTTATTAAACATTGAGAAATTGTCCAAATTAATTGCCAATTCAATTTTTTTACCATCTTAGAAGGCGCACAAGTCTTTCATTCCGCTCCTGTTGTGTGCGAACGTGCCCTCGCATGGATCAGAACTGGTCAACAAAGTGGACCTGGCCACGGCCCCAGGACCCGGGATCCAGGACCCAAGACTCACACCCAAACCCAGTCTCAGCCCCTTTCCTCAGCCAAAGGATGAGCATCCTTTATTTTCCCCCTCTCAATTCCCCATACAAACCCATAGAAGCCGTTGGTGGATTAATAAAGCACTGAGATTGCTCAGTTTGCAATTTTTGTTTATGATTCAAAAGGAACATTTAATTTATTTGCTTTGTTTTTTGTTGGTTTTCTCGTTTTTTTTTTTGTTTTTGCGTTATGTTTCTGCTGTCTCCTCACAAAAATTGAATTTCTGCTTTCGTTTGTCTGCCTGTTTCTCAGGTTTCTTAGCCTTGTCTTATAGTGCCACGCCCCGAGTCTGTCTTTAAGGGATAGAGAGGGGCCGGCTAGTGTTGAATATGGGTGTTAGTATTAGTGTAGGGTGTGTGTGTGTGAGTGAGTGTGCCTTAGCAGATATATATATATGTATATGTAGCATTTAGCTTGTTTTTCTCCGAATACGAATACCCATTAGTTTCGAATTTGTGTTGCCTTTGCCTTCCGTATACACATACAATCATACATACGCTAGAGTATATCTAAGGATAAGACAGAGACAGAGATACATCTATATAGAGTTAAAGAGTGAGACATATGTATATATATGTGTGGAGTGAATGAGACAATTTGTTTTGCTTTGTGGCTTCCGTGTGTGTGGGCCCGAAGGTCCTTCCGCTGCTGTTGTTCTTGCTGCCATTAATAGTTACAGTTACAGTTACAGTTAGTTTTCAATTTGACGACAAAATATACGTTTAGTCATAGACATACACTCACATACACATATATGATGATAAACATGAAACACATTCAGTTAGTTATAGTAGTTGTGGTGGCATCGGAGAGCTCTTCCCTCTTCCCGCCCCTCCTTAGCTTTATAATCTACTCGAAATACAGTATAACTCTAGGTGTGTGTGTAGGTGTGTTCGTGTGCGGGAGTGTGCTGCCTGGCAGCCTTTTCGGGAATATATGTGTATTTATTAAAATGCAGACAGAGAGATCCTTTGCCTTGATAGTTTTCCAGTTTCGGTATTTGCCTTAGTAACGTGTCTCTCCCATAGTTGAGAGGGCATAGCTTAAGAGTAAACCATATGGCGAAAGCTTACATAACTAGATGAATAAGCAGCTTGATGGTCTGGAACTGTAGTAAGTATTTCCTATTTCATTTTCTTAGTTATTTGGGTGCGTTTACTTTCATATATTTATTTATTACAGAGAGAGAACCTTTAAGCTACGTTCGATTGCATCCATCTTAAGATGGCACTTATTTAGCTAGTAACCCCAGCCGAGAAGTCTTCGTTGGGGGTATTATGGAATGGGAAAGTAGCAATTACTCTCTTTACGAAATGTATCTTAATATTTATCTTTAAAACAAACTTAATCCCAGGGATATTGACCTCCTTTTCCCCATTCCATTATACCCCCATACATTTTCCATATCGGCAAGTGTCATTATTGTGGATTCTTGGGGGTGTTGTTCGTCGGGGGACTTGACAACTTTAAGTTGCCAGCTGGCTTTTGGCTAACGGAAATGCAAATTAATACATAACTCTAGGGGAATGGAAACAAAAGCAGAAACCGAAACAATTCTTGGCTAATTCAACTAAAAGGCATAAGCAAACAACAAGGACATCTTGAGCTGGAGCTTTAAGGATGACAGCGACAGAGAGATAGAGAGGGGGAACTGCAAGTGCACTGGAAGAAATCCCAGCTGCATTTGCATTTTAAATGGCGTGTCCTGTCAGGAGCGGAGATTTCAGGCCCAGAAATAATTGAGCAAGTGAGCAACGATGGCCACAAGGCTCTCACAAAATCAAAGCCGGTGCGATATGCGGACGGGCATTTAGTGTCACGAGGGGTTAAGCCTTGAAGGGGTTTGCTAAGTGTGTGTCTATGCCTACGGGGGTGCTAGGTGTGTGTGTGTGTTTTATGGTGTGTGTATTGTTTGCCATCAGTTTAACATTTGCTGTTTGCTTTTCGCTTTTTCTTATGCTTTTCACCTGATTCAGATTCTGTTTTGAACTTCCTCCTCTTATGACATGTACGCAATAGTAATAATAATAATAATCAAGGTAAATAAATATATCGCTTTCGTAACAATCGAGGACAACATTCGAGAACAAAAGATTCCGCATCCTGTTGTCGCCTCTCAACTCCCCTTTTGGTTTCTTAAGCTTCCTTCCTTGCTTTCGTCTAAGGACTCTTTCCCTGTCCCTTCCTTATGCTACTACACACATTCAATAAAATATGCACATCAATAATTCACATTCATTTATCATGTACGGTCTGTATCTGTGTGTTTGTGTGTCTGAGTGTTTGTTATTCAATTGCTAGCTACTTAAATGCTCAGTTTTACGTTATGCTTAAACCACGTGCTAGAGGCATTTTCTGTAGTTTTGCTTATATCAACGACTGGAAAAGTGATGGCCTTAAACTGTTTGTTTTATTTGTTGGGTGGACCTCAATTGCCGTTTGACTTGTGATGTTCTAGGTGGGGCTTAAGGGCATTGAGTTGTTTATATAATTTGTATCATCTTGCATATCACTCATACGCAGTGTGGCCTAGGCCTTGTTCTTCAAGGACAGTGATTGGGTTTTAATGTATATCACTCATACGCAGTGGGGTCCTTAGTGATGCAGTATTGGTGAATTGGTCAAGTATAATTTCATCATCATTCATCCGCCCGGTGGGACCTGTCTTTTTAATTGCATCACGCATACGCAGTGTGGCCTTGGCTTTTGTCTTGTTCTTGCTTAGACTTTAAAGACTTTCTTCATTTCCTTTCTTTAATGAGCCACCAAAAGTTAATGAATGAATTTACCTACAACTTAACCCATTGAGGTCCACCCTTGGTGTACAATTGTGTTCTATTGTGTTCCTTGTGTAGGTGTGTATCTGCGTGTGTTGCTTACGTATCTGAAGTTAGCGGGCTTTCATTTTAATTGGTTTTTGCGTCGAACTCTAACAGGTAAATTCACATTTAATCTCACATTTAAAATGCAAAAGTTTCAATTAATTTATCTTAGGCTTCGCTCGTCGCTCGTCGCTTGACTTGAGTCCTTCCTCTCGCTTAGATGTACATGCCCAGATCCGCATGGAAGTCCTGCAGATACGACAGCAGCTGCGAGGGCGTCGGCCTCTGTTTGGCCTCGCTGTGCCAGCAGCAGTTCATAACGGTGAAGCTGTTTTTTTTTATGATTGAGGAAATGGAAAATGGGAAAAGATACAGGAAAATTTCTTAATTTCAGGCATATTTTCCCCATCAGGCCCTTTGGGTTACTTACAATTCATCGGGGCAGTTGACGGGCTGCTCCAGCCGGAAGCCGGCGGCCAAGTAATTGGTAAGCTCGAATATATCAACCTCCTCGTGCGGCATCTGGGCCAGGGTGACCAGCTCCCAGTAGGTAACGCCCAGTGCCCACACATCCCCCTGGGTGGTGTACACCCGCTTCTGGAGCGACTCCAGCGAGAGCCACTTCAGTGGCCGGTTCTCGTTGTCGCCCAGGCAGTCGTAGTCATCCGGGAAGAGGTCCCGGGACAGGGCACTGTCGCAGATCTTCACGTAGGCATCCTCGTCCAGACTGAAAAGGGAGAGGGATGAAGGGATCAGTTAATAATGAAATATAAGTTTGGTTTATTAGAATATATCAGGAGAGCCTTTTTACTGTTTAAGAGATAGATGATGTATAAAAATACTCACTAGCAATTGCGTGTGGCAATATCCTTGTGGACGATACCCAGGGAGTGCAGGTAGGCGAGGCCCTTGGTGATGTGCAGGCCAAACTCAACCAACTGGCGGGTGCTCAAGGCAGTGCTCGAGTCCCGAGACTTTTGCAAGTACCTGAAACAGGAAAAAATTAAACAATAATTAATTAAAATGTATAAGAAGTAGCTTGTATTATGATAATTATAAAATACTGCTACTCACATCTTCAGATTCCCTTTGGACGGATAGGGATAGGCAATCTCCGGTGGACCCGGCAGTTCCGTATTGGCCAGCAACGGCGCCAGGATATGCTGATGACTGACGCCGATCAGCAGCGAGGCATCCTGCAGGAGACAAGCCACCTGGGTGAGCGAGGCTCCATCAATGACCGTCTTGACCAGGGCATCACAGGACTCGCCCAGCTTGCCGGCATAGATGCGGCCAAAGGTGCCCTCCTTAACTAGCTCCTCGTAGCTCAAGGCACCCGGCTGGACACTGGGTATGCGACGCAGACGCTGGTTGGCCTTCTCCTGGCCATGACTGGCCATGGTGATGGTGCTGCCAGTGGCAATGCCACCGAAAAGGCTCAAACTGCCACTGCCACTATTACACTGGCCAATGCCACGGCTGCTTTTCGGTGTGGACATGCTGCAAGCCTGGAAATTATAAGAGATTAAGTAGAAATTTAGCTAATTTAAATTAAAGCATGTAGTTTAATGAATGTATAATTCAGTTTCTCACACATTTAAGCTCACTTTCGGTTAAATTTCAGTCAATTGCTATATGCAATTGCCGCCCCAAAAAAGGGTTTCCGCATAAGTAAGCTAACCATCGCCCTCGAGTCAGGGGGAAACTGTATAAATTTCCATATTTCCGCAGCCCATCTAATTTAGGACCAACTATGGCCCACAAAAGGGCAAAATGGCAGCGACTTTGGCAACAGAAACGGCAATTTCAGCTGCCGGATTTGCATCTTTCAGCCTGCATCCGCTTACCGTTAGTCATGCACTCGACTGCGCTCCTCCTGCGTTCATTCATTTTAATGAATTGAGTTCCGTTTCCGCTCGAAGGCACTTGAGGCTCCCACACCCGCTCGCACTTTAGCCCCCGCTCCCAAGACTTTAGCTATAATTTGGCCCCTCGAACCGCCAGTTGTCTTACAGCATGAATAATTTATTGGCTGGCAAAAAAGCTTTAATTCGCAGAGCATTATGTTTGCACAGCCACCGGGAGGGGAATTGGCTGGAGACGGACAAGGATACGGAGGACACGGAGGCGGAGGAGGAGGCGGAACCGGAGCTCAGCTGTAGGAAATTGCGAACTCGTCTTGTGCAAACAAAGTCTGCGATGGCAGCAGATAACCAGAAGGGAGGTGGCATTTATCCTTCACTCACACCCACTCAAGGTCCAGCCTACGCAGCACATTTATTCTCATAAAACATGAAACAGTTGCAGAACAAAAAGAACAGAAAGAACGGTCCCCGACTATGCCATACCCGGCTAACTCAATGCAAAATGTTTTGCATACCCAAAAGGCGTTTGCTTTGCTTGCACGACAAACATCTTGGGTACCGATATATTTTTAAATATGGAAAGAACATAAGCAAAACAAAATACAATAAATTATTCTTCTCCTTTCTTATACCAAAATATAAGTCATTTGCAGCCGGTATGGAGCTTAAAATCGTAACATGCATTCGTCACTTTTTCATTTGATTATAAATCTATAATTAGTCTTGGTTTCTTAACACAGCTTTATTTAATTCTGATATCATAAATAATTAAAAATTACCTAAATATCGTCTTATAATTTAAAAGTTTTACCAAAAACAAAGTTTTCTAGGGTGCTTCAGACTTCACTTTCGTTTTTAATACTCTTAAAAATCTGTCTAAAAGTATTTTTTTAAGCATCATGTTTTAAGAAAATTAGTTCTTCGACGAAGTAAATTGAAGTAACATAAATTTGGTTACATTTTTCTTAAAGGGTTTCAAAAGCACTAGTGATTTCTGTGGCAGCCTCATTGACTCTAAGAATATTGATGTAAAACAAAGTTCTAAGGAAAAATTTTGAAATTTTCAGCCACCAAACGAATATCCATTTTTACACAAAACGTACAGGGTATCACCGAACGACCTCGGTCTAATAAACACAAGAAAAATCTCTACAATTCCAACAGAAATCTGCATAACTGCGGCCGAGTTCAAGTGGGATCTCCACTGGCTTTCCCTGGACACTAAATCTCCATCAGCATCCAGCAGCAGGTGGATGGCGATGGCAATGTGGATGGCGCTTTTATTAAAAGCCACCGCTGGCAATATGCGGGGAATTATATTATTTGGTGTGCTCTGACAAGAGCTCCTGGCCACAAAGGACACAACCGCCAGAAGGAAGTCGCTGACACACAATTGCAGCTACAACTGTGTGCGGCCACAGCGACAAAAGGCAATAAAAACAATAGTTGGCTGCCTTTTGTTAGTGAATTTCGTTTCATTATTGCCTTCATTGCCACTTTTCCTGAAGGTGGAGGGGGACTGAAGCCCCGACCGTTTCACCCTCCAACCGGGCGCCCGTGATTCCTGCTGTTTGTCCTTTATTGTATTTGTCGTGCTGCTCCCGTTGTCGCTGTTGGCCGTCGCTGTTGTCCCACAAAGAAAATTCAATTAAAACGCAACAATATCGCACTCCATCATCAAAGCTGTCCGGTGGTGGCCCCTCAAGCTGGGGCAGAGCGTCAGCTCCAGTACCAGGACAAGCTACAGCTCCTGACCCACCTTCTGCTCCTGCTCCAGCTCCTCAACCAACTCCAACTCCAGCTTTAGCTCCTGTGACTCGCTGGGATTGGTGGGGCGTGTATCTGGCTGAGCCATAAATCCCCGTAGTTTCACATGCAAAAGCAACTCCAACTCCACCAGCACTTCCACCTCCACCTCTGCTTTCAGCAAGGACACAAGACAGCATGGAGCCAGGACCTGTCTGGTGTACACTTTGAGTCCTTTGTTTTCAGTTCGTGTGCCTGGATGCGCCTTAATAAGCCTCGCTCAAGTGTAATTAGAATTCATTTAATCGGTTTAACATTAATCGTCGCGGAAAAGGCCATTTATAAAGGAATCCAGTTGGTAGTTATTATTACTTCTTCGATGCACAGCCAGAAAAAGAGATTGGGGATTAAGGAAATGGAAACCGGAATAACAAATTAAATATACGAGACATTAAAGAATTTTGTGGGTAAATAAGTTCTAATTTCGCTCGAAAGAAGTTCAGTCTCTCACATATTGATGAGAAATACCTCCCAAAGACACCTTAAACCTTATTACAAAGTATTATAGTTCTCTTGAGACTTTTAAAACTGAAGAAACACATGCCAACTAGGATTCTGAGGTACTTAAGGCCTATAAGATTGCCTTGGCAATCTTATCATATCATTTCTGCCATAACTTCTATGAACTCGTTAAAAGAAACCACTTGAAAGTATAATAACAATTCGTTAAATGACTCAACCAAGTTTTAAATGAAGCAATGCTCCACTTGAGATGACTTGTGCCCACTTGACTTTATTAATTTCACTCTTAGTCGTTGATTCACAGAGAGAATATACTTGAACGTTTTTTTCGGTGCCAATAAAATCGGAAAATGTCTGTGGAAATTAAATCGAAATCGAGGCAATGTTTATTCCCAATAATGGAGTGGGGAATTGGGGGCAAACAGATTTTATGGGAGAGACTGAGACTGAGACCGAGAGCTCTCCCTCGCCAATGGAAATGTTCATTTCAGCTTCGGGATTGGGGAATATTAAATGCGGATGTCAAACGAGGAGACATTATTGCTTGGCTTTCGATTGCGGAAAATGGAGAAAATGTGAAATTCGAAATTCGTAATGGCCAAGTAGACCGAAAATAGCTGCCAATTGCTGGTCCAGGGACTGCATTGCTATGATACCCAACCAGGGAGGAGGGAGAGTTGAATTTTCAAACCGAGTTTCCAGTCGGGCGTCAAGGATACACACGGACCAGGGCAGAGTGTTGCAGCTGTTTCTGCTTTGTTGTGACATTTCTAATGACAACGGGGGATGGGCTCTGATGGGGGTGGTGTCCTGTTGTCGTCCTGTCGCCCTGTCCTCCTGCTGATGACGTAAGCAGCGCACACATACGACTTGACAGGCGTCTGATTTGCTTATGTCACTTGCAGCTCTACGGCTGCCCGCAGGAACAACAGCCACAACCGCCGACAGTGTCCTCCGATCTCCCTTTTCCCTCCCAAAATCATGCCCCGCCCTGACACATGGGCTGTAATTAAAAACGCTTGATGACAATTTTGCCAGAACGACGCCCGTCAGCACGTCACTTGCCGGCAAACCAAAGTGCAGCCAAACTTTTTGGCAACAACATCAGCAGGGAAAGCAAGACAAGTGGGAAAAGCGAGGAAAGCGGGAAAAGCGAGAAAAGCAGCAGAAGCAGAAGTTGCATCACATCATTTCGCACAGTTTTCCCCTCCTCCAAACAAGGCACAGTGGGGCAGGGGATACAAATATTTTAATGAAGTCTCACCGCTGCAACTTTAGAGTGGGGAAACCTCTAACTAAATTCTGTGGCACAGAGTTCACTCAAAAGCCACAAAAAAGAACAATAAAAGTTGCGGTACATTTTAAATTAATTAATTTCAACGGAAATCAAGAAATAAGCTTGCGGACTTTTAGATAAAACTCAGACTATAATTTTATATTATAAAACAAAATTGTATAAATTAGAAATTAATAAAATTTGCATGATTCAAATGAAAGGTTTAGAGTAGGGGTAAATAATAAAATTTGTTTGAAAAGGCATTGCGAGTACCCATTATTAATTTACCCAAAGAAAAGCACATTAAATAATAAATAAATTTATAAATACATGTAAATTCTTAAATTAAAAGATTTTAATAACTTAACAGTGTGATATTTATTAGCCTTGGATAATGTTTGTAATTCCTTTAAAAATAAATAATTCAAATTAAATAAATGCAATCAAATAAGACCATTTAGTTCCTCTAAATGTTAAATAAAAATAATATTCAAAAGTGTTTCAAATGAGAAATATAAAAAATTTAAAAAAATTTTAAAAATATTTTAAAAGTAAATAACAATAAACTTAGTATGCGATAATTTACTTCCGTACAAAATAAGTATCAAATTTATCCAGACAAAATATATACAATTTAAGAAAGATATATTATATAAATTCTTCTATAAATATGTTCTTGAAATATATTTTAAATGATATATATATATATATATAAATATGAAAATAAATGTTAAAAAGCAAATACATATTATTGTGTTACTTTATATGACTTGAGTTAATCTTTATTATAAATATGACGGAATACAAACAATAGTAAGTCAATTAAATAAAGTAAAGCAACAATTGAAAAATGTTATACATTAATTCCAACTAAATAAATGCAATTAAATATTTTTATACTAACATAGCTTAAATAAAGGTTAAATAAAATTGAAATGTCTCTCATATGTTAACTCCTATATTCTAACCCTTTTCTTTCTCTGTAAACCCCTTCCCGGCTCACTGTAAAATGCACATTTGCTGGTGACACAAAATGAAACTATGCAAATTTCTGATGCTGTTGCAAATAGGGGCATGCAGCCTCTCCTTTCTCACAGTATTTTACTTTAGAGCGACAATGACAACGGTTTGCACATATCACGCATACGACCTGTCGCCTTGTCCTAATAAGCCCCGGCAGTGAAGCGGAATCCCAACGTCGACGAAATACCAGCTGCCAGGTGGAACTGCCAGCTCAATTATATTTCAATTTACCTGCCAACGAGTTTTCCCTTTTTGCCTCTTGCCTGCCTGGAAAAGCCTTTAATCAAAGTGGAAAGCTTCTGCCTGACTTTTCAGTCGCTTTTACTTTTTTTTGTTCTTTGTGGCAAACTAACTGAACTCTCATTATTTTGGCATTTTCGAGGCCGATGCTGCTGGCAGGACAGGACGGCACAGGATTGTGTGAGTGCTGTGTGTGCCTTCTAATTTGCTGGGAGAACTAATTTGAATTTCGTTTGATTTATGCCTGATCGATTCCGTATTCCCTGTTCCCTCCTCTCGGTAGGCCTCCCCCTCCCTTTGATGCATGGCATTTTGATGAGGCGACCTCGTTAGCCCCGCGCTTCGTTTAATAAACGTTTTCGGGGGCCCCACAAAAAGGTCCTTTCGCTTAATGCATAATTGAAGAGCAAAGATGTCGGGGGACTGCTACTGCCCTGACTTGGCTTGGTGCTTTCTAATTAAAGGCGGCGTATACTTAACCAAAGTCGCCGCTTACACGCACTTAATCACGCATAATTGCCTTTCAATTAGCCATCGCGTGTCCTGGCGCTCACCTGGTCCGCCCACTTCATTGGGTCTGCATTTAATAAAATTTACGTTGCACAGAAATCTCCCATTTGTTTGTTCGGTTTGTTGACTTTGCAAATGAAATGAATTTCCAAATGGAAGAAGGGTCAGCCGAGGGGGCCGACTTGAATGCAATTGGAAAACTGTCAATTAAAGCTCTGACAGATTTTAATGGAGAAGTCTTGTTCTCTAATGCTGCGCCAGGACGAAGGACAATGTCAAACTGAATGTAAAAACTGAAGTGCAGCGCAAAGGCGACGCCACGGACAATGCTCGCAAGTCCTTGCACCACAAAAGGGAAATGGGAACAAAGGCAACATCCGCCACTTCCGTTTGTCTCTCCTGCGGCTGACAGGAAGCAATCAATATAGTGTAATGCCGGACAAAAGCATCCGCCGCAGCTAGTCAGGCCAAAAAAGCGGGGGGAATCCCCAGCGCCAGAGAGACAGAGAGAGGGAGCGGCACAAAAAATATATATCCACTGACGGCTGGGTAATTTGTCAACCTTTGGCGCTGGCAGCCATTGTTCGGCAGGTTAAGCTTAACCCCTTGGAATCACCATCACCTGGCGGGTCACATACCGCGACACCCATTAACTGTCTACTGTCACAATCAGACCACGGACCGTCTTTGGTCTTCTTTTTTTTCTATGCTTTCTACACCCTCCCCCCAGTTTTGTCACAAATGTAAATAATGTGTTTTAATCAAAAGGCACAACAGTGGCAAATCCATTAAGGGAGTACGTGCCGCCAGCTTTAACTGGGGAGCCGTATACCGAGGTCCCCCTAGATAGAGCAAAAACCTTTTCCAAAGAGTCCTTTTCCCCCGCTGTGGAGCTTGACTTTCTTTCTTCCCTGCTGATTTACAAATTTCTTTAATGGGGCGACAACAACATTTTTAATTAGCACCTGTTCGTGTTCCTGTTCTTACCCAGGTTAGTCAGCCATTTGTCGATTCAGTAATCTCCATAAAACAGGAAGACATGCTCGCAGCTCCATGGAAATTAATTTTCAGCTATTCCTTGGGCTTCCTCTCGCTGTACTTCTTTCCGTTACTTCTTTGGGAGTACGCCCGCGCACTTGGCCAACTTTCCCCCGTAATGATGCCATTCAAATGCGTCGCACGATGTTCCCGGCTCCTGCTTAACCCATTGCCGTTTCTTGGCTCTTCCCGCTCTGATTCCCTTGATTTCGCTGTTTGCTCTGATTCCTCCTGCCTTCTCATTCAATATACTAATGCCTCCGCTTAGGTTCTGTTCTGTTCTGTTTTATTCTGTTCTGTTTGCACATGGCGCATCCCTATCCCCGAAGGATGACTGCCTTTTGTTGTTGGTGCTGCAATAATATTTTGCAAGTGTTTCTAAACAAGCACAAAGTCATGTTTCAACAGCTGTAGTCTGGTTTCTGTTCGCCGCTGTTTTTATTGTTATGTTCCACTAATTTACCCCTAAGCCTGGCTCCCGTTCCAGAGGGGGAGCCCAGGGAGACCCCTTCATCCCCATTGTTATGGCCTTTGCTATTGCCAGTACTTCTGTTTTGCTAAACTTTCGCTGCACATTAAAGCAATTTGGTCGACGTTTATAGACTGATTTAATAGAATCAAAAGGACGAAGGATCGGGCGAGCGGGGGTTGGTTCCATGCACAAATGAGATATTTCCACACAAGTGAACAGGGCCAGAGTGCGGATGTGTGTGTGCTGGATGAGTGTATCTGTGTGCACTTGGATATAATTGTTTGACTAAATGAGTGCGTTCGCCCCAGACTGCTCTCCCTCCTGATCCTTGTTTGTGCCCCCAAAACTGTGCTACACTTCGCTTAACGCTCACACATATGGCCCAAAAGAGAGGAAGGGGATTGTAGTTGGAACGGAACAACAATAATTATGGCAAGCACCCTCAACCTCCTCCAACCGCATTTCCAACTCCATCTCCCTTATCCTCCCAGAGACTCCACTCCAATTTTGGGGGATACCAAAGGATATATGCAGAGAAACAGAGAAGCAGAGAATTCATTTAATTCCCGGTCCCCTGCTTAAATGCGTGCGGCCTTCCACTACAGTGGTAGAGATAGAAAAGGAATTGGAGGCGAATCCAAATGGATATGACTCTTGGCATTGTGTGGCGCCCGATAACCATGTAAGTAAGTGGATGAGGAGCAGCAATGCTAGCGCCAATTGAAGGCTGTTCCCTTAATGAGGATGAAATTGAAGTCTAAACAAACAGAAATCGTTGCGCAAACAACGAGCGAGAGCGAGATCAGGCCAAAGGAGATGCTTTAAGCCAAGCACATAAAAGTCCCTCGAGTCGCCATGGAAATTGAATATTTAATTATGCGTCGATGGAAATTGCGTTAGAACTTGGTGACGAAAATGGCAGAGTCATAATGGAGATGCGAGGAGAGAGAGTGTGTCTAGGAGGGGAGCAGCAAGTCTAGAAAAAATCCCAGAGCTGGGTCTCTGGAATGTTTACAAGGACAACAATTGAAAGAGGCTGCTAAATAATTTATTCCAATTTGGCAGAGATTTCCACAGCACCAAAAAGTTAACTTGGCTCGAAAGAAATGCTAATGTGCTCCCTCGAGAGGAGGAGGGAGGAGCTGCCTTTAAGGAGACATCAGTTACCATGTTTATGGGAGATATTTCAGTTCATTCCGCGTGGAACCTCATCGGTTTGGGTGTATTTTGCGGTTAGTTCGGATTAAGTTTGCTAATTTTCACCTGAGGGGTCTGGGACAGAACTTGCTGGCTTGGAAACAAAGGCCAAGATAACCACACAGGGACAGACTGTCTGCGTCTGCCTCAGTGGAGCACCTTTTGCTTATCTAAGCGGACATCCTACCGCCATACCATACTCGTTCCCCCCAAGAGACTCACATCACTGCTGTCTCCAGGCACTGGGTTTGTGTGTCGCCTTCACCTTCACCCTCTCCAGCTTCCTTCCACCTCCGAGATCCAGCGGCACACCTGCCACATGAAGTACGTGAGCGTACGAAAGTTTCCCCATCCGAGGCAGCCCAGACAGCCAGACATCCTTGGGAGGAGGCGGAGTGAGTGGGGAAAGCCGCATATTTATGAATGGCTCTTGTTTCGAGTTTAACGCACTACGGGAGCTTTATCAGCTCGTAAATATAAATTAGAATTTAATTTTTATCGTCGAGGAAAGGTTGCTCTCTGCCTGGGGAGCAATCGAGTGGTGCTCGGGACAAATTAGAGGGTAGCCCAGGCAACGGGGAAGGAAAGCAGAGACCGCTTCAAGGGGATTGCCAGTCCCATTGCCATTCCCATTACCATCTCCATTTCCATTTGCGCCTGCCACGTGTCGCAATATATCAAAGGCTTTGATTCCACGCTGGACCCCAGTCCGAGCTCCCATTTCAAATCCAATCAAACCCCTGGTATAGCCGATAGTGGATGGGATAGTGTATCGCTGGAGCACTCACCTGGGTCAGCTGCGAGGAGGCGTAGTAGGAAATCCTCGAGGGACAGATCGACTCTGGCTTCGAGTAAATCGTCTCTGCGGCCTGCTCGTGGTTCATGGGCAGCAGGGCCGTGGCGTAGGGCGTGGGAGTGGGGGAGCTCCGGAAACCTGTGGATTGGATGAGCGACTCCCAGGATTAGAGGTCACTCAAGCAGGAGGCGGGGTAATGAACTTACGGTCGAATATGCTGCACGACTTCTTGCTCTCCGCCGGGTATTTGTTGAGGCTGGCAATGGTGGCGTAGGACCCCGTGGCACTCGGAGGCCTTCCGAGGGGATCCAGCCGGATGAACACGTTCTGGTGGCTGCCATAAGCTGCGGTGGTGAAACTGGTGCTGGAGGTGGAACAGAGTGTTAATGAAGCAAAGGAGGAGGAGGAGCACTAGGGATAACTCACTGTAGTGAGTCCTGGCGGAGCTGCTTGCGTGCCCTCACATACATCATGCTAGCCACCAGGCCCACGGCCAAAACCAGCCCCAGAGCACAGGCGGCGGCGCTCAGGAGGGCGGGTCCCTGGGATGGGGCGTGGGCAGGGGCGGGCGACTGATTGGGCTCAGGTGAAATGCCTGCAATGGATGAGTGATGGATTAATGGAGGAGTTGGAGTCTGAATCGGAGTCTCTGGTTATTGAACCCACCTTTCGTACAGATCTTGTTGCGTTTGAAGTGGAGCCGGGTGTCGTTGTAGCGAGGAGGAGCTCGGACCACCATGTTGACATTGACGGGCAGCTGCAGGCTGATGTTTCCCGTGCAGGGCAGGTAGACCAGGAAGGACTCGATCTCCTGGGGCACCAGGCCCTTGTGTGGGATGCTCAGCGTGGGCGTGCCCAGAGCTTCCTGGTCGGTGCTGTACTCGATGCTGATGGCGTAAGGCAGCTGTTGGGGAAGGGCGTGGTTAATCATTGCAGGATATCAAGGTGAATAGATGGAAGTTGGGTCTTACTGGGTAGGCGATGAGACTCTGCCAGGAGAACTCCAGTTCGTGGACGTCCGCGGGCACTGGGACGGTGAAGTGCATCGCGTACGTGTTGATGGATCCCTCGTGCACATAGAACAAGTCCGCCTCGAGTCCTGTGGGGATGGAGTAAGCGAAAGGAAAGCATGTGAGAGCGGATGCGGATGCACGGCAGACGTAAAGCGAAAGTTTCCCCGCAATTTGCTCTAGAGCGGGGACTCCCCCGATGAGCAAACTTCGTGCATTTGCTGTTTACTCTCCCCTCAAGCGTCTTTCACTGCCATTAAGCGGAAATTGATTTTCTCAGTGGAAAATGGGGAGAGGAAAAGGGGACAAACCGAGGTGACAATGCTGGGAGTAAACAAAACCCAAGACACAATAATAATCGAAATCGAATCCGTCACCAGCAGGCGACGAAGCAGGGCGCCGAGTCTCGAGTTGTCCCAAAAAAGGACCCAGGAAGGAGATATTAGAAGGTGTCAACTGCGAGTGCTTCATCATCGCAGGGAATCGGCTTCCACGGCTTATCGAGTAGAGAAGTCCCGGAGTAGAGCCTGATCTTTGTTCCCCACCCGCTGGCATTGAAAGACGAGCTGCTTGAGTTAAAACGACGTGAAATTAAATTTCTTCATCCGCTTTTATTGTTGCCCTTGCTACTTCTGTTTCCTCTACTCCAGCTAGAGACTCTCATCTGTGGGAGGTATTACTCACTCCATGGGATCAGCTATTCACCAGTGGAAACTGGAAGCTGGAGTGGGAGCGGAGTGGCACCCTGGATGTTTACCCGCTTCTAGCTGAGCTGCCTCTGACGCTGCTTCTTCCACTGACTCCGCCGGATGTTGAATGTAGCAATTCCGCTTCCGGCAGACCGAGTGAGATGGTGATACAGGAAGAAGGGGAGAGTGCTGCATTTAGGGTAGAACAAAGCGCGCGCTCGCTGCTTAAAACAATTTTAAATCCAATTACAGAACAAGAAAAAGCATTTTTCGTTAGCCTTCATCCAGGTCTCAGCTTCATCTACATCTTCAGACTGGTTCCGTATCCCTGCTCAGTTTTCTTTCCATTTCCATCCGCTTTCCTACTTTACTATTTCCATTTCGGTTTCGTTTTCGAGTCCCAAATTGCTTTGCCCCCCATCGCGTTTTTAACCTGGGTTCCAAGTGCAGCGCTTCGCCTGCTCCAACTACCTGTCCCAGGATGCTTTGAACTAGTGGGAAAACACAAACACAACCCCAAAGTGCTCGCCATCAAATATGCACAAACGCAGGAAAAGGACAATGTTCCCCGGTCCTCATACATCCTTTGGTCTCCTTCTGACCTGACAACCGTGACGCGGCGGTCGTAGGGGGAGGCATTTGAACAAGTGACTGCCTCAATTAATTCAGTCCTCAATTCAGGGATGTCACAAATGTTTCATCTCCCGATTCCCTCAATCCGTGCAAGGGTTTTGCCACCTCAATTGGCTTCCCAGGGAGCTCAAACCCGACTGCACTTTAAACAGCATCAATTGGCATGGTTCACCCCACTCCACTACGAGTTGCTCCTGCTCCCAGATAGCTTCTGAAATCCCCGCAAAGCCGGCTCTCCTCGCTTCCAGTGTCAAACTTTGCTCGTCTTTCATATCACGGAGCCGCCAACTTTGCCTGCGAAAGTTTTGACTTCCTCCTGCACTTGGTACACCTCTCCTGCAGGCTTAATGCCTCCCTAATTCCCCTCCTGACTGGCTCTCCTGGCCGTAATTATAGTAGCTGCCATTGCGATTGTCTCGATGACTCTGCCGCACACACGTGACGCTGCAACCGCAACTCATAATCGCAGGAAGGAGGTGGGAGTTGGGAGCTGGCGGAGAAAGTAGAGGAGGAATTGCAGGACTGACTGAGGTGAATCCCAGCTATCGCGAGAGGCGACACAATTTGCATAAAAGATTAAGAGGATAATTAGTGTCATTAGTTGGGAGAGTGCATCCCCCTTGTGCACTTCCCAATTACCGATCCCAGGGGAGGCAGTCTCACCTCATGGCTTATTAAAGCGGAATCCCTGGCAGTTCCTGCTAATTGTTCCATGGATCGGAGATGAGAAACTCTCGCTCGATTGGCACAGTTTCTGATTTCCGTTTTTCACCTCCTCCTGCTTCCTGATTTCGAAGCAATAAAAATGGATTCCAGATGCCAAGCCACCCCTGCGAAGGCTCTTACCAGACTCAAATGGAGGATTGGAGGGGGAGAATATTAATGTGGGGATTTTGGGACTGTTTTCTATTCATTAAAAATAATTTTCTTTTGCATTAACTTTTCATTTGCAGGGGAATATTTCAGCTACCCGCCCAAGGTTGTGGTCCGCCCTGGGGATGGAGGGGATGGAGCAAGGGAAGCAAGTCCGAGGGATCGGGTGGCAGGGTGGCAGGAAAAAGTGTGCACATCAAAGCGAAACTTGTTGAAATTGCATTTTTACGCACCCTTGAACAGGAAAGTCTTCGGCGGAAGGGGACTGGCGAAAACGGAGGGAGGGAAGACGGGAAAATTGCTCGTTGCTGGGACAACACATCCAAATTGGACTCAGAGGCGGAAAATCTTCAACAAAGGCGTGGAAAATATTTAATTTTAATGCTGTCGACACTTCATCGAAGGGATCGCTGGAAGGAGCGAAATCAGAACTCAAGGATTCTGTGACAGTCAAGGAGAAATAGGAATATTGCAATGAACTTTGTTTACACTTCCACAGAAAGACACCGAAGACGTCACCTGAGAAGGCGAACACAAAGTGCTGAAAACAATCCACGTTTCCATGTGGGGAAATGCAGCAAAAGAAAATCGGGAATACGGGTTCCGTACAGGAATCTGGGGCTGGGTCATGCAACCGTAGCGAGCCTTCCGCATGAACAACTTCCATGGAGACGCAAAGCAGGGAAATGAGGTGGAAGCCCTGGAAAATCATGCACAGGCATTTTCCATTCGGAGTGGGAGGAATCAAAGGAGGCGGAGGGTCAGTTTGTTTGATTTCACGCTGCTTGTTAATTTTCAAATCGAAACAACTCCGGGGGTGGCAACGGAACCAACAGGAGAGGAATGCTATAGCCAGGGGTGTTAACTGGTCGTTAAAGACATAACGAGCTCTTTAAAGAGGAGGGGCACAATGGAGGACTGGGCAGGAAAGGTGCTGCCAGGAAAATCTACATCTGTAGGGGAGAGAAAATTGTAGACTGACAAACATCGTGGAAAAGTCCTTTGAAATGTCGCTAATGAAATCCTATTTGCATAAGACTCCAAGGGAATGATGCAGACTCAGAGGACACCGAGGATGATGGCTTGTTTTTAAAGTGCAATTGCGAGGAAGGAACCTGCTTGTCCCATTGATCTATAATGCAATTGGATGCATTCAGTGACAGATGGATGACCGACTTTGAAGAGGAAGCAAATGCTGGGACCATTCATTCATCAATCCGGGATCCATCTCCACTTGATGTGGATTATTTTTACGCCATCTACTAATTGAAGTGCCCTGATTTGGCAACAAGGAAGCGGAGTTAGAAAGGAGCCTGCATAATGAGATGGGAGCATTTATGCTCCAATTACAGTTAAGTGCCGGAAAATGCTGCGACCAGCTCAGCGACTGCTGACGGAGTAGCGACCGCGAACTAGGCCAGCTTTCCCCTCTACCTCCGCTTCGGAGTTTTCCCCGCTTCCAGTCCCAGGATCCATTAATCAACTGGAGGAGCAGGAAATCGCGAGCCAAACGACAAGCACGAGGCCATTCCGCCTTGGCACGTCCATGAAATCCATGTAACTCCCATCAGTAGGGGAGGGGAACGAGGTGGAGGAGTAGCTAAGGATGTGGCAGAACTTGGCCTTGGCTCGATCTGGAGCCGGCGCCATCAATAACAAGGATTCGCGTGGAGCAACAAACGGAAAAACAAGAAAACAAACAAGGAGTCGCGGACAGGGAATCAACAAGGAAGGCAAGGAAGGTGAGGAATACATGTGGATGAGGGGAAAAGGTAACTAGGAGGAGTGGTGGAACAAGGAAATGGAAACCGGGAGGGGGAAAGCTACTTGCAGCTGTCAGCAAGGTGAGGGTAGGCGCACAGCGGAAATCGATTTGTGTGCGATTTGTTTTGGTTTCGCCTTACTAAGTATTCCCTCACCACTCCCTCCTCTTCTCTCCTCCAGGACCTTCCACTTTCTCTACTCCCCCCTTCCTGTGCTTTAATGGTCAACTATAATTTCGGAACTATTAATGACTGTGACATGGCCTGCGACTCAGAGAATTGTTTGTGTTTTCGTGTTCGGGGATCAATGAATTTGTACCGTCGCACTTTGGCCTCCAACTATTAATCATAGAGCAAGCTTGGGGAGGTTCTGCTCCTGGAATGGGGCCTGTCAGTCCCCCTCGGAGTTTCATTAATGGATTAGGCTGCGACAGGAACTGGAACTGGACTTACCCATCAGTTTCATCACCTCGTGGTGGCTGATGAAAATGTTCAGATAGCCGCTGACCGAGGGCGTCCGCCAAGTGCAGACCGCGAGGCAGAGGAGCAGTGGGAGGATCCGCGGATGGCGACCCATGGTGGATGGTTATGCTTAGTGGGAGCTGCGTGGAGTCAATGAATTGTCAGAGCATGTGTCGCCCAGGGAGACGGGCATTTCCACAGCCCCACTTCCTCCCTCGATCCTGGTTCTGTGACTCTGTGACAGCCAATCTCAATGTGTGGCCATTGGTGCGTGTCCTTGGATGGGCTACAGGGGATGCAGGGGTTTCCGTGTGAAGCTTTCCCGCTGCTGATGATTTGAATTGGACCTGCGTTTGGTGATGGTGTTCAGCTGGTGATGCCACCAACAGAAGTCTCTCCGAGAAGCGTTAAAATCAAATTCCAACTGCTAACTGTTCCGGTTGGGGCTGGCTGGGAGTTCTGTCTACCAAATTTGGGAACTTTTCAGCCTCGGCTTCCGGTTTTTCCCCCCTGTCCAGTCTCTTTTAGACCAAATTTTGCAGTTTTGTTTTGCTGCGGTTGCCTCTGCTCTTTCTCTGCTGGAGTTGTGCCGGTGCCTCCGCCTCCTCTGGCCTTATGCATCAGTGTGTTTGTATTTGGCCCAGACTGGTTTGGTTGGCTTTTATTGGCTGAGCTCCTGTCAACTTCCTCCGGGTTTCTCCTATCCTCTCTCGTGTGTTGTTTTGTGGCTATCGCTTGTCACTTTGTCCACGTCTGGTCACTGGTTCCATTTCTCTTCGGGCTCCTTTTTTGTTCTCCTCGTTAAAGTCCAGATCCTGTTGAATAGAAAGTGATTTAGTTTAGTGCAAATCAGGCTGTAAAAAACGGAAGGAGAAGAGGACAAAGGATGGGTGTATTTGAGGATTAGGAAGAGTCCTTGTACAGAGTGCGTTGTGTGGTTCAGTGGCGCAAACAATTTGTGAAAGCTAAATAAAAAGTTTTGCCCATGCAAAAGTAATTAGAAAGTTGCTGGAAGATTAACAGCTCAGGGGTGCCCAGACAGATCCATCCAAGCCTCCGTCAGGATTCACTTACGTCACACACGAGTCGGGTTGGTGGTAAGCGAAAGCTTTAATAAATTCGAGGTAATATTTATGTGTTTGTTTGGCATAAATTATGAACTGGAAAAGGGGCAACTTTTGGCCTCGGACTGTTTGTGGTTCAAGTGGTTCTAGTGGTTCAGGTGGTTAGCCACCATCCCCGCTCCTCTGCCCTCCATTGTTGTTTGGTCTACGTGTTTATTCAGCTGCTCCTGCTCCTGCCCTGCCCTATCCTGCCATCCTGGGCCCTCATCCTGGCTGGTTGCGTGTGCAGGTAGCTCGATAGGAATTCCAACTGCAGCGGGGATTGGAGTGGGATAAGAGTGGATAGAAAGGATAGAGTGCACTGGGGATGGGTCTCGTAGGCATGGCAATGGAACCGGGACAGTCGAGTGCTCCCAAAATGAAATTGTTGCCAAGAAGCGGCCGAAACTGCTCCAGTCTCCATGGCAATCTCCTTTTCCATTTTCTATTTTTCCCTATTTTAACCAATTCTCCTCTCGCTGTTTCCATTTTCCAGCCGCAATAAAAATCGAAATCAGAAAAGTTTGTTGCCTCGGCTTTCCGATTTATCTTTTTTGGCTTTGAGCTTTTTTGGAATTTTAAAGTTTAACCAACGAAAGATAGTTTTCTTGGCTGCTCAGGAATGTTGCGGGTTTTTTAATTAAACTTATCTGCATTCACTTGATTAAGGGCCAGATCAGCGGCATCAGCAAACTACTCTTCAACTTCAGCCCCATCTATAGCACCTTCATCATCGCCAGAAGGAGTAAGAGCAGCAGGACTACTGTTGACTTGGTCCTCGCATCCTTCGGCATTCGGAGTCATTCAGGGGATGCATTAATAATTCAAAAGATAAATAAACGAATGGCAATGTGTGTGTGCTCGCTTGACTGGTTGTTCTCCGAGGGGGGAATCGCTGTAACTGATTTAAATGGAGCAGCAGACAAACAGCCAGGAAGGGAATTACTTGGAATCATCTCGAGGGGATGAACCAGGCAGACATCCTGCACGGCAGTCATCATCTTAGTCGATAGCATATTAACTACATCAACTCAATCATAATCAGAGAGTGGAAATGGGAAGTATTTGGTGGAAAAGAAGAAGTTTCTTCTGAGCATTTTCCGCTTAGTCACACGCATCATCTGTCAGTCGGCCACGCCCCCAAGTATATCCAGCTCCTGCTCCTCCCCCGACAAGTGACAAATTGAGCATTTGCCGATGTTTCTAGAGCCGACGGAGGACGACGAGGGCACAAACTTTTCAATTACTTGAGAGGGAATTATCAGAGGGAGGATCCCGGATCCATAATGAATAATAATCTTTGCTGTTGCCTGCTCAATTTCTATTTTTTTGTTGTATTATTTATCGATGTGTATTATTTTCTGCCACCCCGAAGCCAGGAACAGATTGAAAAGGCTTTTCAGCCCGAGGCTTCGCCTTCCTCCCTACCAACTCCCCCTTTCAATTATAAAATGGCTTTCGCTTCTAATTGAATCGTGAGCTAGAGTCGGGGGGGCTGAGTTAATATTTTATTTCCACCGATTGCTCCTTCCGCCATCTTTCGCGGCTCTGTTTGCTTAGCGTTTCCAGTTCCCCGGTTCCGGCCCCGTTATGGCTTCTCCCTAGAGCCAAGCCCATACCCACTCCCACTCCCACTCCCACTACCACTTCCACTCCCATTTGTTGGGCCAACAGCCGCGGGGCTTTGCCAAGTAGCAACCGAGTTGGGAGCTGCTCCAGCGGATGATAAACAACCAAATGTGCTCTGCCAGAGCAGGGATATCCATCTCCTTGACTATTAAAACTCCGATGGAATCTATTTCGGCTAACAAAAACAAAAACAGAAACAGAAAACAGAAAACGTTAAGCAAAAACACATCTCACATTTTGGGTAATTCGAGTGGCCAACGCTTTCAGTAAACTGAAACTCAAATTTAGTTTGGCCCGCGGCCTTTGGTTGGGATCAAAATGCGAATAGTTTTTCCGCTTCAAACAAAATATCGAATATCCGCTCTCACTCCAGCGAAATTCTCATTAACTTTAAATGCCAGAAACACACAGAAAAATGGGGAATTTTATTAAGAATATGGGGAATATTTGTGTTATTAAGATTTAAAGGTGGTTCTAGGCTCCCTTTACTTACTTAAGTTGAAGTATTATTATTATTATTACCACTATAGCTCTCAGTTATTATTAAAATCTAAGATATATTTTACTAAAACTGTGAAATGCTAAAACATTCATTTATTTTTGCCGAGTGCAAAGCCAAAGTCCATTTAATTGCCGTAAATATTTGAAAATGAACTCCACATGGGGGAAAATAGACCACGAATTGGATATATAATGCGAAATATTCGCGCTGACCGGACAAATTGTAGCCCATAAATTTTGATAACTGATTAAAAGTAACGAGCGACAGTTGCCAACTCTGTTTACCTGACATTACCTGCTCGCTGTTGTATATTTAATACGGAATTGTTTTTGGCGGATGTTGTGTGGCAACAATTGGGATTTGGAATTGCACAGGACCTGGGCCCTAATGTCCAAAATGTTCCTGGGCCTGGCTAATTTGTGCAGGCAATTAATTTACATTAAGGCACAAGAGGAGGGAGAGGTAGACCAGCTCGATTTGTTCCATTTTGTTACATTTCGGCGCTGCGCTCCACTGAACAAACGATTTCGACCCCAAAAAACATGTGTAGTAAATATATATATATTTGGCCGAAAGGACCAGGACTGGACACGTAATGGAAGACACACTTGTTCGTGGTAGAACTGGGTCGTTCTGGTCCCAGCCAAGCCATTAAATTCACAATTTGTGCGATTTCGCATGATGACAGTTTCCACTTAGTGTTTGGGGCTTTTCTAATTACTTTCGCAATTATTGTCCAACCCGTAAACTAGGAAAATAATTTATATATCGATTGATAATTTCCCTAATTACCAATAAAAGAAATTCTATGTATTTTTTTTACCAGACTCATCTGTTCATTAAATCACTTTGAAGGGGTTTGTTTTTGTAGAGAGGAGCTTGTACGTTTTTAATGGAATGTCAAGGGTTTTTCAATGACCATTAAAAACTCATTATTAGTGAAACAAAAAATTAAATATAGAACGTAGATATTGAAAATATAGGTCGCAATATATCAAACTAATAAAAAAACATTCGTTTTATAAGAATGATAATTCAAGGTACATATATATGAATATAATAATATATTTTTGAAACCATTAAAGTCTTATTTTTTAAGTGTCATACTTTAAAATTGTGTAAAAATTAACAAAAGCTTGTTGCCAGCCATAATTTAACTTCATTTCAATAAGACTTCATTTTCTAAAAACAAACTTAAAAATCATTCCTAGCCGTAACAACTCAATTTTGATCCTTTCTTTTTGTTACATTCCGTTTAAAACTCAGCTTTTGTGTGGAAAGCCACAGAGTTTGTGTTGAAAAGTAAGCACTAGGGTAACCACTAGCCTCATGGGTCGTCCCTTACCTCCTCATCCTCCTCCTCTTCCAAACAACCAAATGAAAGCTTTTAAGGATGCTCGTCTGCATGCGAACGAGTGCCTAGTAAATAACCCTATAATGACCAGCTCACATATCCAGTTTACAGTCGCCGCCTGATCCACAGCACCTTGGCCACTGCTCTGGGGCTGGCTGGCCAGCCATTTAACATGAAATACAACCTCAATTACGTTTTACGAGTTTAACTCAACACCGTGCGGTTGTCTGATGGGAATTTTCAATATTATGTGGCGTGAATTTATGGTGGCAAGTGACAGGATCCGAGCTAAGCGACGACACCCAGCACGAAGCTCGAAATGCCATGGAATGGGATGCGACTTTTATCTCCTCCAGCGGCAAGTGCCGTAAAAGTATCACCACGACAGCTCCAGCCCCTCGATTTAAAGCCCCTCGAGTGACGAAGGCAACCCGAAAGGACATCGACAACGACAACGACTGAAACCCGCACCCCAGACAATGGGCAATAATCATTGATTTATGGCTGTCATTTCGGTTATTAAAATGATATTTCGCCCTGGCGCAGGCGGAAAATCTAGGATGGGGGGGACGACATCTGAGCCGGCTATCTGGGTCAGAGACCGTGTCCAGGACAGGACCGTCCTCCTTTGGAGCTTTATGCCCCTAATTGAAACATCAAGCCGGCTTGAGTATCCCGCAGTCGAGCGCTAAAAGCGTGCCTAATCTATGCATATTTCAGGCAAAGACCCCTAATCAGGTTGCGACTGGGGCATAAAAAAGAGCAGGGCTAAAAAGGAAACTGTGGCCCACACTTATAGCCAACTTTTAGTTTCACTTTGAGCCGGCTTTGTTGTTGTTGCCGCTGCTGGCGGAGCACTTAGGCATTCAATCAACGTGGACGTTAGCCTGTCGTGTCGAGGCGTTGGCGTGCACTGAGTGCTGCCTCGAAGGGTAGAGGGTGGAGGCTAGAGGTGGTGGGAGGTGGTTCGTTAGGGGTTGCCTGTTTGGGGGACAGGGATGGGGTGCTGGTGGGTACTGGAAGTTGGGGGTGCTAAGTGTTGGGCCCAGCCCCATTCAGAGCTGGCCAAGCGCAACGAGAGATTTGCATTTTGTGCTTTATTCTTCTCCATTTAGCCACGGAGCAAATAGAGTTTTTGGGGTATATTCGATGGAGGGAGAGGTTGCACATAGAAAGGGAAGCGTTTTCAGGTTTATGGGGTATATATTCCACTTTGAAGAGGCAGAGATTAAGCCTGGATCAGCATCCACAGTACACAGTATATATATTCTTGATCTGCAAGTTCCTTCCTTAGTTAGACTGTTAATCTCTTAGTTTGTTATTCTCCCAGTTTGTACCTTTTTGTATGCAACTTGTATTAATTTGTCCATCATTTTAACCGTGGTTGTCTCTCAACATTTCTGTTTCTTTACCTTTATATGTATGTAGTTTGTTAGTTTGTCCATCAGTTTACACTTTAGTTTAATCTTTAGATTTTCATACACCAGTTAATTCTTTAAGTTGTCCGTCATTAAGTCCATTTAAAGCAAGTTAAAACTTTATTCTATCTGACAATTGTCCGTTAGTTTAACATTAGTCCGTTATTTAAAGTTATATATAAAAAATATGTTATAAAGAAAGAAACTTGAAATATTTAAGATTTAAAGAAATATGAAGAAGACTTACTTTTATACACTGATAAATACACATATTAAATTAAATGTGTATCTAAATGTTCATTCTTGATTGTTTTAGAAATTTTGTATTTAAGCTATGAAGTATGAAGTAGATATGTTAGAAATGTTATCTAAAATCTCAAGTGTATCCCATATTCGTCACATAAAACAGTCACTTTTCTAGTGTTAATTCTTGTTTCTACCTTTTGTTGGCTGTTCATTTGCTCTCTGCTAGAGTTTGCATTACTTTTTTATTGCCTACTTTTTGGCGCCCCGAGGAGCAGATCCTTATTCTCACACAT